AGCTGAAGTACTCAGCAGCTGAAGCTGATGCCTCCCTACATTTACATTCCCACCAGTAGTCTGGTTAAAGCAAGCTTGGGTATGCTTATGTGAACTGTACACAGATTGCAATGTACATGTTTTCTTAAGTGTCTAAAGAGGTATTTAGGAGCCTAAGTTGATTGCCCATGTCAGTCTAGCTGTAAGTTCAGCCTTCCTCAAATTTTAAATGGACCTGCCCTTCAAAATGAGTAGAAAGAGTGAATAACTACAATTCTATGTAATACCTTGGGATCTAGCTAGCACCGTACATAGACTGCTGGTGGCCCCAAGTGAACTTTTAGTATTGGGCCCCCCTTCACTAGAGATAATGGTAATAATAATCAGACAATGGGGAAAAATTACCATTTTGGGGCCCCCTTTCTGTCTGAGCCTCAGGCAACTGCCTGGTTCACCCATGCCTGTGTCTGGGTCTGGATCTAGGAAACCTTCAGTTCCAGGGATTCCTCTGATGTGTTTTGGTGAGTGTAGTGCAAGGAATAAGTGATGGGAAGCAAAAGCATTTTATTCATCTGCAAAGCTAAAATTAACCAATATAGTGCCCACTTGGTCAGCACAAGGCCATGAGATATTAGGGAAAAGTTGGAGTGGTTAGAGAGAGGTGAGGTCAGCAGTAGTCAGGGGGTCTGAGTCTATGTTTGGATGCCAAAGTTGAATCCAGAGCACAAGTAGGTCAGGGTCAGAAAGTTGGAATGGTGGCCAGAAGAAGTGCAAGTTAAGGAGCCAGAATCCGGAAGCTGCAAGTCAAGCTGAGGTTAGGAAGTCAGAGTTGAGATGCAGATGATGCCAAGATCAGGAGCTAGAGAAGGGAACCATCTGTGAGTCACAGTTAGCAAGCTAAAATCAGAAGCTGGACTGGAATAGTAGGAGAAAAAAGGAGAAAAAACAGAGACCAGATTTAAGATAAAGTGCTTGAATCAGGCTGATCCATACACTAAGATTCCTGTTCTTCAGACACAGTCTGCCCTACTGGCTTTAAGGTTCTGTTTGGACTAGCTGCCAAAGGGATGACTCATTCCCAAGATGGAGTGATAATTTATCATGCTAGTACCATGCTTCCTCCCTGACCTAGAAGAACCACATTTTTTATAAGATTGCTGTTTCCATGGCTATCTAGTAGCAATGAAAGTAAGGTGCCAAATGGTGCCCCAGTGGCAGTGGTTTTGAGATATGACCAGGTATCTAATTGGACCTGCACTGGCATAGAAGGCATCAAAAACTAAGCACGGGGCTGTGTCTAATCTCCTGTCCTGCTCTGGAGCTTTAACACCTCCTTCCACTCGGGATATGGAGCACTAAGTCCTTCTAGGAGAACGGGTACCACTTTTCATCCAAGGACAGTTTGTTTTTAAATGCATACACAGTCCTGGGAATAGGGACCAGAATCCATATGTCCCCTCACCTGCATTTACTAAGGAGTAGGCTAGACAGGTAGCCTCCCTTCTTGCTCACCTGCTGGCACTACGAAGCCTGCATTTCTTTCTGTGGAGTAACCCAGCTTCAACAATGGGGTTAGAAGGTGATTTATGGAGACTATGTTATAAGTTGCTAATTAGGTGATTCTCTTGGGAGAAGGAAATACAGCTTTTAATCCCCTCAGACTGATGAAGCCATAGGACCCAACCTTCCCACTTCCTGGGTGAGTACTCTACCCACAAGCCTTGTACATAGAAGTTGGTCAACCCCATATTTTTTGAATGGAAGAGCCCATAGTTGCTGTGTTTTGTACTAAGGTCATGGTGTCAGCGTGCATTAGGGATGCTCAGTGGATGTCTAATGATTTAGGGCTCCCCAGGGAATTAAGCACAGATCTGTCATTTCACAAGGGAGCTAAGCAGAAGTTAGGTGCCTGGCTGCCCAGACTGGACCATTTCTATCATGCAAAAAACCCCAAAGTCATGTGCCTCAGAAGCATTATAATTCAAAATGTCTTCCTCTACTGAGTTTTAGACCTGCTTGGATAATAGTAATATGAATTCACTTTTTGCAATTTAGGTTCCTTAAATTACATCTAAGAACTGCTTTACCAATCTGCATCACACTGGGTTTGTCTCCTTATTGGAATCCACCTGCAAAGCAAAAAAAGCTCCATAGCCTTGCTTTTTTTTTACACCTGAACTGGTAGTAAGTGTATTTGTTCAAAATTTACAGAAAGGTATAGGCACCTAAATCCACTAAATTTTAGGCACCACAGATATCTTCAACACTGTTGCTGCTATTAAATGTTGAGGATATCTGTGCAGATTTCCACCGGCAGACATACACAGAGGGCGCATCTACACATCACCCTACATTGCTGTAGTAACACTCTATGTCACCATAGTGCATCACTGCGGCAACGTAGTGATGATGTGTATCTACATGTGACTGGTAGCTACTTCACTGTAGCGATGCACTCCCCCATTTTAGCATACCACTATGGTGAAATAGCAGCAAAAAATAACTGTGCGCTGCACATGGCACATTACAGGCAGTTACTAAGCCCTGCTTTAGTACTTCTAAAGGGAAGTACTAAAACAGAGCGAAGTCATAATGTCACCATAGGGTGACATGTAGATGCACCCAGAGGTATCTAAACACTGAAGCTGCCCCACACATCTCAGAACTCTAGCTCTTGCTGTATGCCCCGAATCAACATCTCAAAATGGGTGTTCCCCATGGCTGGGGCAGAAATTACACATAAAGAGATATAAGTGATTGCAAATGAGTTCAAACCTGTACACAACAGAAGTTCACTGCACATAAACTGCTTTCAAAATGGCTGGAACCAGTTTTAGATAAACCTGGATGGATGTAGTATTAAACTTAACTCATTTAGGTTAAATTGGTTTATTGAACTTTTGTCCCAGATCCCCTCCAGATTCATTAACTCACAGTCTCCCAGCATGCCAAGATGCTTTGCTCCTGCCCTGCAAACACCCCCACTAGATTTTTTGTTGCAAAGCATACTGGGTAGTTTCCCACCACTAAACAGGTGGATGCACCCATTCCCACAACAAGTGTACCCAATCTTTCCTCTAGCATCCCACACTATTTTGCTAGCTACATAGGTCAGTGTGTTCACTTGTCTGCATGCCTTCTAGTGCTTTTCTACTGCTAACTAAATATCACCTTGCTATTTAAATGCTGGTGTGCAGCCAAGTGCTGCCCTTTATCATTCTAGTTCATGGGCAGTTTGCATATCTGGCATTCTCCTGATAACTAAGCTGTTGTACATCAAGTGTGACTCCAGAATGAGGTCCTGAACTTCACTGTGTTCTTGAGAGAGGCGTTTGTACAGACCCTCTCTGCATTCTACTCACTGTGATGTTGCCAAGAAATAGGTCCTTTCCTTTATGTTCTATGGTGCAGAACTGCAGGCAAAACTACCAGGAGATCCTCTCATCTCCTACCAGCACTTCACACCCCAAACTTCACTTCAGAGCACCCTACACACACAAATCCGCAGCTGAAGTACTGCATCCAGTTCTGGGCACTGCGCTTCTGGAAGGATGTAGAGAAGCTCGAGTGCCCAAAGGAGGGCCAGACACATGATTAGTGGTCTAGAGAGCAGGTCGTACAAGGAGAAGCTGAAAAGACATGGGACTGTTCAGGCTGGAGAAGAGAAAACTCAGAGGGGACTTGCTGGCAGCCTATCAGTATATTAGAGGCATACATCAGGGCCTGACGGACCATCTGCTCACTGAGGTACCCCAGGGAAAGACAAGAAACAATGAGCACAAACTGATTGAAGATTGCTTCTGACTGTACATAAGAAAATACTTCTTTACAGGTCGAGTGCCGAGGGCCTGGAACAGGCTCCCCCCAGAGGTGGTACAGTCATCTACCCTGGCAATCTTCAAAAAGCATCTTGATGCTCACCTTGCTGGGGTTATCTGAACCAAGCAGTCTTTTCTGCCCAAGTGCAGGGGGGCTGTGCCCAATGATCTTGTAAGGCCCCTTCCAGCCCCTAACATCTATTCATCTATGAATCTGTGATTGTGAAAGCACAGATATCTCTGCCTATTAGATTTTACTCCTTTATCAAGTTTTTTTAATGCCTCCTGCATGCATTTGTTATGCACAAGAAAGTTTAATATTTTAGTGTAGTATTATTTATTAAAGAGTAATTGAAAATGCCTTCATGCATGAGTTAGTGTATTGAAAAATTCAGGACAATGCCCACCTTCGCTGTACAACTTCATTAACATGCCTGATTTCATTGAATGTTTACACGTATTATGACAAAATGCAATCCTGTACAATGTTAATCTCTACATAAAGGCAATGAAATCACTACATAAAGCATGATAACAAGTTTGCAAAACTTCCCATGCGTGAGCCTTAATCATGAGCACAGACTTATTTGCGCGCGCGCACACAAACACACACACATATGTGCCTGTACATATATGTGTGCCTATATGTGTGTGTGTGTGTGCCTATATATATATATATATAGGCACAAATTCTCCTTGCCTCAGAGTAGGAGCATAATCCATTCCTAACTATTTGCTCCTGAGTCACTGCAGCATTTCATAGAGACAGTTTCTCTTGCTTTTTAAAGTATTTAGCAAGTCTGACAATGTCTTGCAATCCTGGTGCAAGGCTCTCTCCCTTACTCTCAAAGTACCCGGATGCTGATACCAGCAAAGCTTGTTTGCAAACTTCGCTGTGTTACAAAAATATGAGGTACAGGCATCTTGCTTGTGGCTTGCAAATAATAGGAAATGTAGGAGAAAAAACATTTCTCATCAGGTTCCAGCCTTGTAGCTTCTCCAGTAAAAGGCTCAGGATGGCTAACACTGAACCATAAAAAGAATTGCAGAAACAGAATAAAAACTAAAACAAGAACAAACAAACTCCTGCCTCACAGATCAAGAAGAAAATCAAGAGATCAAATAAAAAAACGTACCCCACCCGACATGCCCCTGCTCCCTGCTGTATCCCACTCTCTCAAAAGGATGAAGCCATAGTAATCTCTGTAGCCCCATTACCTCCTTCCTCACAGGTAAAACACATTGCTCAGATGAAAACAAAAAACAAAATAAAAATCACATCCCTTCACTTTGTCTCTGCCACTCCACAGGACAGTGCCAAAAGACACCTTTATCTGAATGGGGCGGAAGACAATGACAAAACCTGCTGGATTTCAGTTTTCTTTAAAAACAAGGGATTGCATGATTATAAAGTAATAGCTTTCACAAGACTCAGTAACAGAGCCAGACTTCTTGGGTAGGCTTCAACATGAGTCAAAGGGGAAAGTTTATTGAGATGAACTGATCTTCATGTTGCTAGATACCGCTTGCCCACTTTGATTGTAGGTAACAAGCCTCTGGTTGGAGTAACAATTTTGCGTGACCTGAATTTACAGGCTGACTTTTCACTGTTTGCAACTTTGTTTGCTTCCTAATCAGTTCAATGGCTGCTCACTCTTGTTTTCCCCCCAAGACTTGCGTTCTGTGCTAATTGAACTCAGCCACTTGGCACCTTCTAATTGCATTTAGCCAACTCTGTCTTATTTTTTCCAGCAGTCATTTTCTCTTTGGTCTCTGATTTTCAGTATTATCTGGTCTTTTATTAAAGACTCTGGAAGCTCTCCAAAATGTGTTTGGCTTAATATCTTCAGACTTTTAGAAAAGAATTAGAAGTCTCTCTGTGTTTTAGGTTTCTAAACAAAAACTGATGCCTCATCACATGTTTGTTAATGTTTCCTCCATAGTGGATGAAGCACTTGGTTTGAAAATGGTGTCATCTTTCAAAGCTAAGCTGGTGATGGAATGAAACAAGATGAACTATGGGGATTATTTAGCTTGATCCCAAACCCCACATTGCCATTGATTTCCTGCCGCAGTTCTATTAGCACCACTATCCCAAGTTATGAATCTACTGAGGAAAGTACTACATGATCTAAGTTTACCTGGAAAAGTGGAAATAATGTTCCTGTAAATGGGAAGAAAAAAAAGTGAAAAAAGTCTCAGCTGTGCACATGGACAAAGGGGAAAACAAAAAGAAAAAAGTTTGGGAGGAAAAACATCTCTTCTGCCCACTGGCATGATATACAGATTGTCACAGAAGTGTTGTGACACAAGGGAAAAAGCACAAAGAGAAGCTGCCTGAGGAGAGCCATTACCAAATCTCAGAGTCAGAGATGTTTAAGGATCACTTCTGAGACACCACTGCATTGTTGAAATGAGAGTAGCCCACGATTCCCATGAGACTGTGAGCAGTGCATTTCCACTTTTGGCCCTCGTTTCACTTCAGGACATGTCTATTCCACAGTGAATAGACAGTAAGATCCAGCGTGGATTCCCTCGAGGATGGCCAGTCCACCTGCCACCATGGGTACACACCAAACTTGCAAATATAGCAGTGAGGCTGCTCCAGGATTGCTTGAGACTGGGGCTTGAAAACAACCACAACCCCGCTGTTTTGAGTCACTTGCTCACTTCTGGGTTTGGAGCACAGCAGCAGGAGTGGGTGGTTGTGATATGCATAGGAGTGTCCTGAACAAAGTGTACTGTCACTTGAATGTAAATATGTCTTTGGAATCTGAGGCTGGCAGACTTGTAAGCCAAGTGAACTGGAATAGCTTATATATGCATTAAATACAAAATGAGTAATAACTTGTTAGGCAACAATAAAACAGAAAAGGATCTGGACGTTATTGTGCAGCCCAAACTAAGTTAGCAATGCAATGTTGTTGCAAAAATGGAAAACCTCATCCTGGGATGTTTTAACTGGAGAGTAATGTGTGAAGGAATTATTCCACCCCCTGGCAGAACAATTAAGATGTCTTGTTCTGGCTCAAGAGACATAAGCTGGAGGCTTGCTCTTGTCCAGGGTTTGAATTATGGAGGAGCTTGGGGGGGGGGGGGGGGGAGCTGAGGCCCCTCCTCCATAAGTGATGAGAGGCCCCCCATAAGATTTGAAAATCTGGTGGGGTGGGTCTGATTTTATTAGGGCATCGTTATGGGCAGTCCATTTTCTTTTCAGGAGTCCCCCCAAGTCAAAGTGTAATTCAAACCCTGCTCTTGTCCTGTTCTGAAATTGGCCCTTGACTTGTCAACCCAGATCCAGATGCAAATTAATAGCTGATCATTCAACAGTTAGATGTAAGCTAGTCCTAATGTTCCCTTTTATGCCGGTGGTTGTAGAAATGAGTATGCTGTTACCACAGAGGTCTGATGGGCTGTTAGACTTTGGCAGATGCTTAACTTGTCTTTGAGTTGGTAAAGCCTCAGCTGATTTGCGGAACACACTTTAAGAAAGATGTAGACAAATTGAGGAGAGTCCAAAGGACAGTAACAAAATTGATCAGCATTTTAAATCTATGATTTGTAAGGCAATGGTGAAAGAACTGATCTTGTTTAGAAAAGAAGAGACTGAGAAGGGACATGATCATGATCTTCAAACAAGTAAAAAGTTGTTATAAAGACAGCATCGGTTAGCTGTAGGGAGTAGGAAAGCAGAGATCAGCTTAATGTGCATTAACCAGGAGTTAGGTTAAGTATTAGGAAAGCATCATCAGCACTAGAGCAGGCTACCTAAGGAGGTTGTGGTACCCCTTTATTGGAGGTTTTTAAGAATGGGACAGATAAATGTCTGTCGTGATGATCTGCCAGGTAGGTACACTGATACTGCCTTAGCGCAGGGGATGGACTAGACTAGGGGTGGCCAAACTGCAGCACGAGTGCCACAAGTGGCACGGGGAGCTGTTCTGGGTGGCACACGACAGATCAGGAAGGGGCAGGCAGCACAGCAGCAGAGAGGGCAGGAAACAGAAGCAGAGCAGATGAGGAAGGGGATCAGAGTGGTACTTGAGGATGGTATGGGGCTAATTTGTCACATGCCTGCCAGCAAGCTTGAAGTGTCTCCTGAGGTGCCTTCCTGTCCTACATTTCTTTCTACGTTGCATCCTTAACATACAGACCAAATAATAAAGGGCAAATCCCTTTAGAAACCTACTATTTTTGTTTTGAACAGTAAGGTTTCTTCATTTTGCACACAGACTCAGGCATTTGTTAACATCATTCTGTATATTTACTTGGCCACCAATATCCTCAAAAGAGTCCTGCCTCTTTCCAAAGGCCCTAACTATAGCTTCCTTCTGCTCCCTGAACACTACAGTGAAATGGTACACCACACTGCTGGACAGTAAGTGCCAGATCACAACAAAGTCATTTCATTATTTCACAGAAAATTATAAGGACCTCAGAGACTGCTTCCAGCTGGGCACTCATCCTTCACCCTTTAATCATGTGGTAATCTATTCTTTTCAATAGTTATTCAGGTCTGGGGCTTAGGAGGGGCAAGAATGGAAGAGAAAAAGGGTAGCACCACTAGAGTCAACTAGGAAATTACTTTGGAGCAACTCAGGAAGGTTTCTCTAACTTCCCCAGGAGATTTGCCATCAAATCCTAGGTGACTCTCATCAGTAGTGAATGGA